CACCATGTCGTTAGTTAACACTGGCCTTGAGAACTCCTTTGTTTAATATATATATATATATATATATATTTTTTTTTTTATTATTATATTTTTTTCAGTTTCTGTTTCATATGTGGTGTATGGTGTATGTTTTTATTACCATATAGCTAACATTTTTTAGGGTAACAATAGAATGATATGAGTTAGCTTATTAGCATTTAAAGCATCATGAGGGCAGAAAGTGATTTACCTTTAACCATCATGCATTTCCATGGCTTTAAACCAGACTGTATAAAACATGGACGTAGACCCAGTGAAGTCGTCCACAGGTTTCTGAACTGCAGTTTTGAAACCCTTCAGCAGTGGTCGCCATGTTTGAAAAAGCTATCTCCACCTAACATGATGAAGTAACAGGCAAAAAGGTGGAGGACTGAAGCGTCCCACAGGCAGCTACTTATCTGTCAGTCAACATAGCTGCCCTCATTTAGCATTCATTAAATATAAAAGGAATAAGTTAATAAACAAATTCACTCAGCTATTTAGAACAAAGACACTTTTTGTACCATGTTGTAAATGTGTTTAATACAGAAGCTGATGGAGATCTTAATAAACAAACAAACAAACAAAATGGATATTTTATCATGGGTCTTAATGGGACTTCTCTGGCTTTTGGAGTCAGCGTCTAGTGGACAGAATGGCAGTTTTTTCACTTCTACATCGGCTTCATATTTTAACACCAGAGGTTGCCGCTTGACTTCCAACAGTTCAGTAACTGCTTTTGTAAATTGGACTTTGGCACGGCGGTTCATCCAGCCAGCCAAACAACTTGCTGCTCCACCAGTCTTCTGAATAAATCAAATATGTTCAATGCTGAAAGCCCCACCCCTCAAGTTCACGTACCTAGGTATAACTCTGGGAGAAGAGGAACAAAAAAAATGGCCCCAGCTCTTCATTTAGTTCCTGGTTTCTGTGGTGGAAATATTTCTTTAAAGGCTAAAGGACAAGAGACCTTTGAAGGTGGAAACAGCTTTAGTCCTATAACACTCAACCATTGTTCAAACACACACGGACATCATGTTTCCCTAAGAGCTTGTTTTTGACTTATATAAACTGAGGTGATTTTGGGGAGGAGAAATAGACCACTCTGCTACCTAGCTCTTTTACCATCTCACACTTCTTCAGACAAACACAAAACACCAACGCACAAAAATATGAAAAATTACTGAATTACCCCACATACCCCCACATAGCCCCCCCCCCCTCTCTCTCTCTCTCGTTAACTCACACACACACACACACACACACACACACACACACACACACACAGCTTTAAGTAGGCTATTCCCTCTGGCCTAACTGGAAAGCATCATACATTTTCAGTGTTTTGAATTTTAAAAAAAATCTTAGTTTTACACTATTCCACATATTTGTAAGTAGGTTATTGGTGATGAAAGCTCTATGGATGATTGATTGTTTTTATTGGTTACAACAATAATACTATATTGTATACACATGTGCTCACTTGTGACTTTGTAGGATGTTTGAGGACATTTTGGTCTTGTTGAGAATATTCTCTGGTATCTTCTTTATAAATATAGGTTTGGAAACATGTAGGAAAAGTTATTAGACCTGATATTTTGTTAGTTTTGTTCATCTTTTCTCATTGTGATAGGCAAAGCTCTCAGTCTTCTCTGAAACCCTGCCCTCTGTCCCTACATTGCTTTTTCACCACTTAACAGGTGTATTCTGTTACATTGGAAATCTCCAAATCAATCAGTCTTTATTTTTTATAGCGCCAATTCATAACAAATGTTATCTCAAGACACTTAACAAAAAGCAGGTAAAGACCTTACTCATTTTCAGAGACGCACACAGCAGCACAACACTAAGCCACATTTATCAAAGTTACAGTGGTCAGACAACAAATGTAAATATGTATTTGTGTCTGTGTATGTATACTATACATATCTATGTTTGTTTTTGTTTCTTATTGTACTTCCCTCCTGGTCCTATTTCTTAATTTATTTATCTATTCATTATTATTCATATATTTTTGTATTTTTTTATTAAAGTTGTGTGTGAAGTCGACATTGGATGGAGAATTACTTTTTACAAGAACGATTGAATACCTTTGAAACCTCAGTGTCAGTGTTTGATCAAACTACTTTAACTTTTACCTGTTAACCATCATCATGATGTCCTGCAGTATGCCAAAAAGATGATAAATGATTTCTTTATAGAATCTATTGGCTTACGGGATAATTATGCCCCTGTTACGCCACATCAGCAAACTCACAGAGGTGATATGGTGGGGCAGACTTGTTCCACCCTTAATCCTCCATCCTGATGCTATCCGTATTTGAAGACCGATGACATCACAGTGGCACGTCGAAGGCCGTCCCATGGCTGAGGCTCCTTCAAATGTGGCTGACATCCTCCAGGGCCAACAAAGGATCCATCCTATCCTTTATCACAGCAGTCCAATCAAGCTGGTCTCTAAAGCAGCCCAATACAACTTTGAAATGTGAGAACAATCACATAACTGCCAATAATGTTTTAAAACAAAAAGGGACCTTGAGACTTCTAATTATCATCAAAATAGTAGATTAAGTTTGATGACATTAGTTATGTTAGCTAGCTTTGGTGCAGCTGTTGCTAGGCAACAAGTGTGTTTCTTAGAATGGAGGGTAAGTGCGGGACTTGGTTACAGCGCTGTTGTGTAATTGTTATGTTTATGAACAGCTTATGTTGACAGATATTTAACAAAATATTTGAGAATTAACAGCACAATGTATAGATTATTGACACGGAGTACAATATATCCAATATGAATATCAGGGATAAAATCCATCATCCACATATTTACTCATAATTGTTATTCAATTAATTAAATAATACATTGTTTTTATTTTAAGAATACACAGGTCTCTTTTATTAAATTCCCACAGTATCATTTAACCCAGAGCTACTCTTGAAAAGCTTGTGTCTGGTCTACAAGTAACATGATGAGCATTTTGTCATCGGCTACTGGTCTGTAAAGGACGCAGGGCAAAGGAGAGCAGACAGAAAGAAAGATGAGTGGAGAAGAAGAAGAAGCATCCTAATGATATCAAATGAACCTTACAGTGTAACTGAAGGAGAAAGTATGTGTCAGCTGCTGGCCTGAATCACTCAAACATTCACTCATTTATTCAATTAAAAGAGGGAACTCACAAGCGAGTGCAGCAGGTGCAGCTAGTGATAAATCCAACAAACAGAAAACAAGAAGCTGGACTGCTTTAAAAACCAGTCAGTGCAGGAATGAAATGGGTGATATCGGTTGACAGCAGGTATATCGAGTATCACATTTACATGGGACAGATCAGCTAACATTTTGTATCAGGCTCTCAGCTGTTGAAGACTTACAAAACAGATATTTTCATTTTGTTAACACAGTTTGAACGGGCTACATGAGTTTCCTCTGGGATACAGATAGTGGAATGATTTGTCTTACATGGAATCTTTCAGGAATATCAATATACTATTTGTTATATTAATACACACTTCCCTGTAATTCCCCTGTGAATGCACATAACCCTTAAGCTCTGTTAAACATTTCAACTGCTCTAATGTCTTACTCTTTAACTAAAGCGCCTCTCACTCTGCATTCCTAAACACACTTGAACATTACCCCAAAGAACTGTGTGTGAGAACACAAATACATTAAACTGATTTTACCCTACTCCTCGACGTGATGGTCTTAAACATTTCCCCTGTGAGTGTAGATAGAGGGCTTATTCTGTAGACAGGCTCTGTAGATAATACTACACATGCCAAAACATAGCTTAGAACACCGGGGTGTGGCATAATCATCAGAGAGGTGCTCTTTGAAACAATGAAATCTGGAACAAAATGATATGCTGTGTTAGGAGAAATGTCTGGTATTCATATGGACAGACTGAATAGAGAGATCATTCAGACAGTTCATGACAACATTCATGAGTTGGGTTGTCATGGTTGTAGTCAAAAGTCCTACGTGATTAAAAAAAAAATACTCAGACACTTGTGTTTTATGCAGGGCATTTGCACGGATTAAGATAAGTCTATAATTTACAGGAATGTACTGACTTTATCCCCAGATCTGTTGCAAAGGCTCTGCTCAACAATCAAGACAACGTCTGCAAGTATCACAAATTGCTAGAGGTCAGTTATGTTAGTAGGACTACATTTAATTTTTTTTATTAACAAGTCTAAACAGAGTGGAATCTGTCTGTAAAATAATCTGTAGAATGTAAACTTTCTTAGCTGAGTCAAAGGGTCAATACAACACTATTTAAAAAAATAATGAACACAAAAAAACAACAAAAAGAAGTGTCACTTTATGAAGCTAGAAGCATGGGCAGTTCTAGGCAGGGGCCAACAGGGGCCAACAGGGGCCAACAGGGGCCAGTGCCCCTTTTAAAACTGAGCTTGGTCCCCCCTGTGGCCACCCCTCCAAAAGAAAGAGCCCCCTAATAACACATACACAGTATTTGACTCACAATCTAGTATTCAATACTGTTACTGAAACAAATATAAATCATGGTATTAATGATGTGTGCTATTATTAGGCATAATATTTATATATTTTTTAAAGTGACCATCTTTGTCCATTTTTGACCTGGGTTTAATGTTCCCCTCTGACAAAACAACTGGCCCCAGTTTGGCCCCCCTCAGTAAAAGTGGTCTAGAACCACCACTGGCTAGAAGTAAGTGGTGAGCAAAGAAGCGTAAGTAGTGTAGAAGCAGAAATTAAGCACAAAAATGACGAGCATCACAGGAGAGAGAGGCTGCAATTTGCACCTTACAATCCACACTTTCACACACATATAATTCAAATGCACACACAAATACACACTGTCATGGTAAGGCCTAGAGGTGCGCAGACTATCTTTCCAACAAAAAGCAGCATACACTAACCTGACAGGAGAATGTGTTAACTGAGAGGTGTAAACACTGAGCTGCTGTCAGTCATGCTGAATAAATCCACACTGAAGTCCATCAATGTTTTTCTGTTTATTTTAATACCAACAGACATGGTTAACAGTGTGCAGCCCCCCGCCATGTGCATGGGAGTATTGAAGTATTTCTGGCTGTAGTTGCTGATCTAGAGCCATACACAGACAAAGCAGGCTGAATGTTATAGACTGAGGAGCCCAAACTGTCCCACATCAAGTGATATATTTAGCTACACACAGGTCATTGTTGTGTTCAGATACAGCACACAGCTACAGAACAGTATCATCAATCTGGTCTAGGTGTCACAGGGTTATTCAATCTCACTATTTTAGAGTTTGACAAAGACAAACATGTAAGATCTGACATCACAACAGCCGAGGAAACACACAGTGATATAGTTGAAGGCTGTTCTCTCAAAATCAAGGATTTTGGTAGATTCTGTTTCATCTTCCTGTTGCTTACTGTCTAAGCTGTTCCTAGAAAAGCATAGGAAGCATTAATACTGCTTTGCATCAACTATTGTCATGGTGTTAAAAACGTGATCTAAGGCTTAAAACAGTTACTCAGCGTTCAGAGATACAGGAGCTGTGGGATTACTGAATTTGTTTCAAAAGCATCTTAAAATTTAATCTAAGACATTTTTGGGCTCATAGAGGGATTTAAATGTGTTGTATATATTAAATATTAATTTTTAGTTAGTCGTACATTTTTGTCACATTTATTTAAACTATGAATAAGAAAACTATCTCATGGAGTTACCCTGACTTTCCATGACTTTGAAAGTACATATTTTTTAATTGAAATAGAACCTGGAGTCCATCTCTTTTTGAAATTCCTGGTGCATTTATTTTGTTCTTAACTCTGTCCTTCTTTAAAAAAACCTTAAAACTTAGCCTTTGAATTCTCATTAGGCCTTCCTGGTTTCTTTATTTATTACAGAAAGAGATGCATTTCAGGGAAAGAAGCCGAGTGCATTCAAAAAGCTGAACTTCTTCCTGATGATGATTTAAACAGCACTGATTTTATTTTTTGTGTATGACTCGAGAAGAATAGTTGTATAATTTATTGTGTTGCTCTCGGGGGAGCATGCTAAAGTTTTGGATAATCCTGATGATGTCATTACGGTTATCTAATGTTTGTCTAAAGCCTTGTCTGGCAAATTAAAACATCTGGAAGAAAAAAAAGTGGGCAAATGTTGCTTTATAGGAAGTGTAGGTTCCTGTGTTTAAGCAGCTTAACTTTGAATTAGGATGTCTCTGCTGTTACTGTTCTAACAATTTATTTTTAAGTCCGTCTCTTGTGAGTCCTCCACATTAACAAGTTAAACACTCTTGATGCTGGAACTCATTGTTTTGGCTCTGACTTCATCTCTCTTCAGTTGTCTGTATGTTTGGCTCCCTAACTGCTGGAGACTTGAGGGTTCCCAGGCTGATCAAAATATTACTAAGGAAACATGAATTGATGAATTTAGAGAGCAGAGAATGGAATAAAAATGATATTTGTAAATAATGGGTAGGGTTAGGTTATTTTTTTTATGAGATTCATATTTTCTTTTTGGTAATCAAATCCATTTTAGGAGACAATAAATCACACTTTACTTAGTTAGTGTTTCTAATGTGGGGTTGTGTGTAATGTTGTACTGTTTTAAAGAGCCACATGCAAAACTATTTCAAATATAAATGGAACAGCTGAATTCTGCTTTTTACTGATAAATAAACAGGCCCTCTATTCTTGAAGGACAGGTCAAATTTCAACAAAGAAAAAACACCAATTAAAGAATTTTCCCCAAACTGATCATATTTTGAATAGGTCTTTTTTGAAATTTCATTTTGAAATTCAATATGAACTGATCTCATCTTCTATCATTGTGCATTTAATAGAAAAAGATCGTAGCATGTTGGGAACTCCGTACTGTATTTCAGTGTACATTAAGGCGCATGTCATGTTAACATGTTTAAGGCCATATAGGCCGACTAACAGAGACTCTGATACACACAGTCTTACCTTTTAGAATTTTTTTTAAATAATCTGTTCATCCTTACAAAGCAAGCTTTTACTAACTCCTTATAAACCTTAGATCAACTATTACTTGAAGGTATTTTCTTATTGAAGAGTAACACGTGGCTGCTCATAACTCTCCTCTAGGCTATTTTTTTATTAAGTATTTTGTTGATCCTCCTCATAGAGGTCAAAGGTCAGTTATAGAGGTGCAATGTCTATCAGACATCTGTAAGCATGCTGTCCTTGCTAGCTTATTGTGCAACTACATACAAGAATTATTGCTATAGAATTACAGTGTGTGTACTGAGGTGCATTTTGGTTTCTGCCAACACTAGCTCTCTGCCCCTGAGTTTGTAGCTTTGAATTGCATAAAAGTTCGACATGATCTAAATGAAAAGAGTCTATACCAGCGACTCACACACAGGTGGGTTGTCAGAGTCCTGGCTGTGCATGGAGCTCAAGCCTGTGTCTGAGTCCTCGTCGTTTGTATTGCAGGCCTTGGACAGACCTCTAGCCTGCTCCACCCAGCCGCTGCTCTTTTCTGCTGATGCTGGCTCAGCCTCAGCGCTCACTGCAGCCACTTCTCCCCTACCATCATCACTCAGTTTGTTGTTCACCTGCTCTATCTCCATGGTCTCAACTTTGGCCAGCAGGTCCAGAAGTTCACTCTCCTTGTTATCCCAGAGTGCCAGACTCAGGTCCAAGTCTCCTCTTATGGCATCCAGATCTGTCTTCAGCCGCAGGCCGATGTACAGACTGGTGTCCAGCTGTGTTTTGATCCGCTCCTCCTCCAGAGCAAGCTCGTTCTCAGAAGAACTTTCCACGCCTGGTTCCACAGCTGGAGCCACAGAGGAGGCCACGCACATCTCCCCCGCGCCGCTGTCTGTGCCCTGAGCAGCCTCCGCTTTCTCCTCCCGCCTTCGCTTCATCCACCGTCGATTGAGCTCCTCCTGGATCTCCCCTGTAATGCACTCCACGAGCGCCTCGCGCTCTGTCAGCTCCTCGTGAAGCCGCACCACCTCCTCACACTGGCGCGCGTACTCCTCGAACTGCGCGAGCGCCTCCGCTGAGCCCCACGCGTCCTGCCGCTCCGCTTTGCGCGCACAGTCCGATGGCGCTGGAGCCTCCGAGGAGGACTCCACCATGTACGTGTCCTGAACATAGTTCACCCCGTGTCTCTTGATGCGGTCGAAGTGCACCTTGGCCTCGTATCGCTCGATCTCCCGGTCCAGCTCCTTGATCCTCTGGATCTGCTGGCGTATGGTGTGGTCTTGGGAAATGACCAGGTGAACCAGCGTCTCCATCTTCTCCGCGGAGCCTTTATCTTTAGAAACAGTCTGCTCTTTCTTTTTGTTCATCTTATCCAACTTCCTGAAAGCCTTCCTGACTATGCGCCTCTGTTTCTCCTGGGACAGGTTAGCAGCGGCTGCCGCGGCGGTCCAGCAGGTCCTGGCGGTACCTTTGAGAACACCGCCAGGACCCCCGCTCTCTCGACTCGGGACCACACGGGCCTCGGCGCTGCGGGGCCCGTTATTGGGCAGCGAGGCCTCGTTCTTAACCAAGACGAAGCGGACATTCTCTTGTTCTTCCCCCCAGGCGCTCCACAGTCGGAGGATTTTGGTTTTGTTGGGTAAAATCCTCTCGAAGCCTCTCCATTTCTCCACCACGCAGTAGGACTGCGGACAGCCGGACAGCATCGCCGCCGAGGCGCCCTGCTGCAGGTTTTGGTCCTCCAGCAGAACTCTGACTACATCAGCGCAGGTAGTTCTCTTCGTTAGCCCAGAGACCAGCTTCTCCTCCCGGCAGACCCACACAGAGATCTTTCCCTCCTCTGGCTCCATCTCCAGCTTAAAATACGTTTCTAAAACGTGTCCTCTTCGGTCACTCTGTTTCTGACAACTCGGAAAGTAAAGGAATAAGACGAGTTCTCATCTGATTCTTCTATTTGACCTGAAACTTCATTAAGAGTATTAAGAGGAACCGGGGCAAAACATTTATCCAAAAACAATGTCAGCGCTCCCGACGCTTCTTGTCAGTTCCCATTAGAAATAAGAAGTATGAAGTCCGCCTTGAATGGCCGTCACAAATATCTTCTGAAGAGTATTCATCCATTTATATTTCCCAGCCATGTTTCCCCGGAGCTGCCGGCCGGGACGTCATGCCTCTCTCCCCGGCGGGTCGAGCTCTGTGCGCAGAGGGAGGAGGAGAGAGGTGCGTCCTTGTGAGAGGACAGGCTGCTGCTCTGCTGTGTGTGGGACAAAACAGGAGGGTGCTGAACCGGGTGGGACACGCCCCCCCTCTCCCCCCTCCTCCTCTCTCTCTCTCTCTCTCTCTCTCTGTTACGCACAAACAAAAACACTCTTTCATTCTGCTACACAGGGAAACCTGCTCTGAGAGAGTGAAAGTCGGTGTGACGCAAAACTTTGACTCCTGCTCACCGATTATTTTTATGTTTGTTTCCAGTCAGAGTCCATGTTACTCTGATAATGATGAATGTCTCTTTGTAGGCTGCTGTGCGCATGATGGATTAATGTTGGGTCTTTCTTAACAATATAACAAAGTGTCTTGAGATAACATTTGCTGAGAATTGGCGCAATACAAATAAAGATTGATTAATAGATTGATAATCAAATCAGTTGTCAACAGTGTTTTGATGTGTATCTGTTAAACAGAACTGGAGTCTGTTCATCACAGCTTTATGGGTATTAGGAGTTTTGAAGATGAAATATTGTTAGGCACCTTAACAGTTAAACATCTATCTTTTATTCTCCTTTATGTAATAAATGTATTCTATTTACTCCACTTTTACTGTCACACACAACCAGTGACAAGGTAATCTGGATAATGTTATCGTAGACCCTTTACAAAAGCAGCAGGTCTTTGTTATATTCTTTACAAAGAACCAACATTAATCCACCATGAGCTCAGCACTTGGCAACATTAAGCAAAGTAAAAGTGGTATGACTTCCTTTTAGGAGGCAGAAACCTCGAAGCAGAAACAAGCTCATGTTGAACAATTATCTGCAACTGTTGGGTTTCATATAGGGAGATACAGAAAGAAAGAGATAGAGACAAACAGATGAATACGATCTATTAGTAGTATTATTAGCAGTAACAGCAAAGTATGACAGACCATTTATTCTAATTAACATTAGCAACTAACGGAAAATAAATGTGGAGGACTGATTATTTTAATTTATTTAAATAATATAATTTGAAGTTGAACTTCATTCTTAGATTCACATTACCATTCAGAATAATGATATTAGACTATGACTGATATTAATAGTCTTAGCAGTTTGAATGAGGCAGGACCACAGCAGCTGGTAGTCCACACCAAGGATCCAAAAGAACCTGAGAAAAGGGGATCTGATCGACTCCCAGGAAGATATATAGTCACTTTAATGGAACCTAAATATTTGAGTTGGTGACATGCAGTATAATAATATGAGTGAAATTTTATAAATATATTTTAAAGTTAATTCAACTCAATTCTCTATAGACGTGAAAGTGGAACAAATTATTTTTACAAAGCATCACTAAAAGGAATAATACATATTATGTCACGTCTTTAAGCCCACTATAAAAAAAACTTGGTTTGAAATATAACATTTTTTCCTCACATAAGATTTAGACCCAGAACACATAAAGAAAGAACACTGGAACCTCTCTTGAATTTCTGAACTAACATTATGTTTGATTTCCTTGGTGCTTCAGTTGTGAATCCTTTGGATGTGTTTTTTGGATGTCTCATGATATCTGATAAGAACTAATGCATCCAGGTAACAAGCCCAGAGAACCACAGACTAAAGCAAAAACCCAGATGAAACTCTTTCTCAGCAGTGTTACACGACAGTGTGCATTGTTGTACTGTTTCATAATCCCCACACAGCTGAATGCTTCAGTGTGATAAAGCTCAGCTGGATTGAGCATAAAGCAGAAGGAAATCCATCTATTACACCCCGCAGGCTTGTCTTGTAGTGTCTGACCCCATAATCTGCTTTTTCAACTCTTTCAGGCCAGAATATGATCGCTGACTCTTTAAAACGGATTTATCTGCACTAAGAGCATTTTGGTGTGTGTGTGTGTGTGTGTGTGTGTGTGTGTGTGTGAGAGAGAGAGAGAGAGAGAGAGAGAGTATTACATTAATGTGTTCATCCTCAGCAGCTTCCATTAGTTTGTCACTCAGTGTGATGCATCAGGTCATGCTTGTTGTGAAATAACCTCTTGAAACCATCTGGAGAGTTGAACTCAGTGTGTATGTGTTCTCCAGACACAGACCCATTACGCACAGCGGCATGTGCACACACTAGCTTTGGATAAAGAGGATTTTCAGTGCTGTGTTAGGGATGTGGGATAACAGAACGTGTTTTTATATTTAATCTCATTTCCTGTAAGGTCATCACATCTGTCTGACCTGCAGACTTACTATTGGTTTCAAGGATTTGGTACTCGCAGTGTTTCCAGTTAGTTGTGACAAGAAAGCAAATAAGAACAACCCAAACATGTTGGCTTTGTTTCATTCAATCAGAGGTCCATTGTAGGTTAAAGATTAAGTGTTCAGTGAGACCAATAGTAAATGATGTCATAAACCACACATTCAGACATTTTCATATGCAAAGGTGTAATCTATAATATGGATCCAGAGTAACATTTTAATCATTTTAACTGCAAACACAAATGATTTCTGCTTTTTATGCAAGTATAAAAGTGTTTTTTACTCTTTTATTATACAATGTCTTCATCATAAGAGAAAGAGAGCTTTGAGTTGGATTCTTTGAGTAGGGCTCTCTCTGGTGTTCATCTTGAGAACTACATGGATTCACATTCATTTGTTTAGCATCATATGCAGGATGATTTGTTTTTTCTTTGGATGAAACACAAAATAAAAGTTCTAATTCTCTCAGCAATGCGTTTCTCACAGGTTTGCATATTTACTGAACAGACAGTTTAAAGGTAAAAGAATACCTAAATTCAGTTGACCAAATGATGCATTTAGGGTGAACTTGGTGGATTAAAATGGATTAGAAATTTTTATTTTACGAGAAAAAATAACTTTCAAACATGATGAGCATTGTGCATATTACACAAATCCTCACTATAAAGGAACTTTTAAAGACAAATGACACGCCAAGATGTCCCTCCTAACATCAAAGGCCACTCATCAATAAGCATCTTTTGTTCAGTTTGACTTAAATCATCACATGCAACTCAAATAAGATATTTAACTTATAGATATAACTCCCAAATGTCAAAGATAACACATTTAACACCATTTATTACGAACAAACTATTGAAGTCTGATGCAACATGATAGCACAAGCTCTTGAATGCAACATCATGAGCATGTCAGTGCATGCGTCTTATCACTTGCTGTATTTCATCATTAGTTTTAATCTGTAATGTTAGTAGTTATCGCTAATTATGATAATTATGCTAATTATAATATTATTTCTTTACACATGGCTATTATTATTATTTTAGATGCTTTATATTTGTCTGTGTGTGTTTCCATCTCTCTCTCTCTGTCTCCCTGCTTTTGTGATAAAATCTGAATTAAATCATTTGACTTGACTTAATACTGACAGAATCTTGTGAAGGTTGAAACTGTTTTATTATAACAAAGAGGTATATAACTTTATTATTGAGTAGAGAAAACAGAATTGCATTTTCAAGGTTCAATGACAGAATAATCTTGTTTTTCTGTCTTTGCTGTGACAACTTGAATTACAATTTTTACACAAAACCACACACACACACACACACACACACACACACACACACACACACACACACACACACACTTACTTTGCACCGTTGTAATGAACAGTTCTGTTGTTAACATGTGCCTAGAGATCATAATAACCTGTTTTAAAAGAATCATAAGAAAACCCTTTTCTCAGCAAAATCACATTCGAATGATACAGATGACTTTATAGTCACTATGGACTAATGAGTAAAAACAAAACCATGAACACAGTTTGGAACTGACCATTTATTTAATCTGAATAGCATATACATACAAAATCTCTACAAAGCTAGAAAATATCTAACATACTTTAGCAATAAGGGGGGAAAAGTTACCAAATAAAGATCAGACCCTGTGCAGTACCAATAGACACAATTGACTAGCTTTTGGATATTCCTAAATGTAGTCTTCTTCGCAAAATAGGATCAATATTAGAATATCAAAGATAGACACAACATCTGTAATAAACGCTATTGTCACCTTTATACAAAGCACCTTATCAAAAACCCTCAGTGTACGCATAGGCGCGCTGCATATGCACTGGTGCAGAAAGAGTCAAGGCCATTTTGGATATGATTACAAACATAGTATCTGTGCCACATGTGGTTCAGTAAAGAAGATACATATCCAGGTTTCCACACACGAGAAGACATTAACAACACAGACAACAATGATTCTGAAACCTGTCAGTTTTAACCTTGTCCTTGATGAAACAGTACACACTGCTCTTTGTGGGAACTAAAGAGAACACATTCACTAGTTGGTGAAAATAATTTAAAAAACCTTACAGTTGAATCCTTGTTAATTTGAACAGTTATGATGTTCTCATACAGGGCTTTGTCCTATACCAACTCATATCATAAGAGGTGTCCATATCAAGTCAAACAAAGTCATATTAAATAAAGGTAAAGTGGTAAATGGGGTTTATAATCTATGTGTTGAGCCTGGCATAGAAGTGCATCCATTGAGATATTTCTGTCTTAAATACTTGTAGTCTTTGGTCAGCAGGTTGTGGATGATGTCCTGACAGAGGGTCATTATTGCAGAATCCGCCCCTGTAAGGCTGTGATAAGTTATCATGTAGAGGTCACATGACGTGTTTATTACACTCTAGAGAAAGTCGAGTGGCTTGACTGCAAACAACAATCTACCCTAGTGTGAGACAAAGATCTGAAAAAAGTTTGAGCAGGGTGTAAACGGGGGTTTCTTGACAAAATGATTTGTGTTTAAAAATGCTGTTTAAAGACCAAATATTACTGAAGGTGACACATCACAGGCATTAAGACCAGAATGGTTGCCCTTAGCTAAATGTGGTATTTTTGTGTGGACACCTCGTAGTATTGCAGACGGGCAAACAGAAAACAACACTGTGTTTACCAGGTAAACTGTAGGTCTACTCTTTACTGTAATAATAAATCATTATTGGTGTTTGTGTTGGCCTTCGTTTGTGCACAGAGTTTGTTAGGACTCTTCACCTCTCCCACCAACTATGTA